GACCACGAGACGTTCCCCAGAGCGCCGTTAAAGCGCGAGACAAACGCGGTTCTTGTCTCGCCACGTTCCGTGAAAGGCACTTCTTGGCGATGCCGGGGCCAGAGTTGGCTGCGGAGTTCACCCACTGCCCGGTGTTGTGCCCCGTAAATCACGGCTACTTGTGTGGCTGGCTTGGCCGGCCGGCACGAGCTGCCAAATATAAGACACACTGCCAGGAATGCTAGTGGCTGGCAACCCGGCGATAATTTAACTGGAGCATATTGTATATTCCCGGCGCGAGGACACACGCAGAGAGAAATGTTGTTCTCGGGGAAAAATTTTTCCCACCGAATATTCGAATTCCCTTGGACTGGAGAGGCTTAACGAGCACCCTCTGATTCATGAACAATCTACGCAAAACGGCACGTTACAGGCGGAGTGCGTCATTGGGCAGCTCAGTCCACACTCGCGTTTCAATCAACCCAGACCTTAGTTTGTAACAAGATATTTACCTGCGTTTACAATACCACGCTCACAAAGGAAAGGTGGGTCTGAAACACGTCGGCATAAATCACAATTAAAACTACAATACTTCAGCGAACTTGTTTAAACTGCGCTTCACTTTTACTCGGCCAATGTTTTCTTTCGCGGCTTTCAATCGAGGCTTTACTACACAAGGAAACAAAAACCGCTTCGCATTTCCTGGTGAGACACGGCGGCGCTCGCGACCAACCCCCCTCCCCCCCGCCCGCCGAAACGCGAGAGACTGGCGGCGTCTCGACAGCTGGGACGGCGGAGCGAGCGAGTGGCACTTTGGGCAGACTTAGGTAGGTAAGGGGAGGTGCGCGCCAGCCAGCGGGGCTCCTGTGCTGCGCATGGGGGCATTAAAGGCTTGCAGCACCCCCCACCCCCGTCTGCACTAATCGGGTCGAGCACCAAAAAGCGGCATTGCTGCGATTACAGCACGGGACACACACGTCGCGTTCCCACGGACGCTCACAAAGAGGTCTGGCCCCAGTCTTGCGAACCCCGGCAAAGTGGGCTCGGGCCGGATTTCCACACAGCAGGGCTCACTGGGTCGAGGCAGCTCCGACTGGGCCGTGTCGCACGCACTTTCAGTTGGGCCGCGTGACTCGCTCCGCCAAGGGAGCTGCACGTTTCTGGGCGGGTTGCCCTCGGGGAAATGCTGGAGTCATCACAGGGTCAAGGCGGCGAACGGGATGTACTGCAAATGGGGTCCTGCGCGAAAGACCAACTTCGGGGCAGCCGAGTAAGTCCTGTCCCGCACGAGAGTGGTGGGCAGCCTGGCCATCCCGTCACCGTCCGGCGGCGTCGTCAGAAAACAAACATATAAAAGTTTTGAGCCGCAAAGAGTATGGAAGCTACTGAGCGCACGCACGGGGAAACCAGGGCGCCAAGTCGGCACTTCAGGTGGGCGCGCCTACACGCACACCGCAACGCTTCCAATCGGCAGAGAGACTCTCCCCGCTCTGGCGGTGGGCGGTTGTTTTGGCCAAGGTGCGTGCGAGAGGGGGGGAGGGGAGGGACCAGGTAGAAAAGGTGAGTTTCAGCTTCAGCAAGGGTTGAGTAAAATTACGAGAGGGCGCTGCGGTGGAGAGCCCTCGCGGATTAGCAAGGGGGGGGGGGGTAGGGAACAAATCAAAGACGAACCGCGTGGCGCCGTCTCGGACCCGCGTTGTTTTCAACGAGACTGGCACAGCCACAATTGTAGATGTGCAAATAGAGAGAACCAACGGTAACTTAATCTGCGAGTGCTGTCATCCTGGCTGGGGCCCAGCGGCGCGGCTAATTGAATGCGCTACATTATCACGGCGAACAGCACCGCCGTTTCTTCCACTTGAAAACATCCAGGAATTGTCGCACGGTAATTCTTTTAACTGCGATTGCGTGATTTAATTACTCTCCGAAACAGTAACGTGAGGAAACACCCTCCCCTCCCAGACGAAACTTAAATGTAAGATTTTTAGCAAAAGTTCCGCTTTGTTATTTTATTACAAAGGGTCAATCATGCGGAAATAGCGTCGCTGCCAATCCCAGGCCGAGCACACGCGGCGGGGGCTGTGTGGGGGGACTGGGGCTGCAGGGCGGTGGAGAAGCGATTCCCTCCCCCCCCCATCCCGAGCTATTCGATGAATCGTCACGTTTCGAGGCCGCAGCTGGATCCTGGAAGACGAAGCCGAGACAAAATAACAGAGAAGAGACGCGAGCCGCGCGACAAAGTTAAAACCTGCCCAAGCAAACCCTGACCTGGTAAACAGCAAATATTATTTCAAACAAGAGCACAAAGAAACGACCAACACAACGCAAACAAGCAGCACTCGAAAACCATTGCTGTTCTAAACACACAGTCTATCACACCACAACAACAACAACACGCCGCCATGTTAAGTAAATTCTCTCAAGAAAAATACGCATGCTTTATTATTTGCGCTCAATCATGAATCCGATAGGGGAGCACAGAAACGTCATCCTAATTGAATGCTAGCTCCTGATTACAGCGGCGTGGCATCCGTGGGATTGCGATTGCCTTTGAAGAGGAATGATGTCAGCGAGCGGTGCGGAACGGACGCCTCGTTCGAGGGCGACTCCCCCGGCGCAGGAGCGGGACTGCGGAAAACCAGCGCAGCCACGGCTGGCGAGAACGCGTTCCCACGGCGCTTGGCTATACAGCACCGGTACCCCCACCTCCCGGTCAACGACCCTCCCCAAACCCAGTTGGCCTACCACCCAGTCACCCCGCTAACCTCATCCTCCCTCCCATAATGCCATCCACAACCTGCCCCTATCTTTACCACTCAGTCGCTGACCCTTCCCTAACCCTACCCCCAATTGCCTGGAGAGACAAAGATTACCCCGCATCGTCTTTACCAGGCTGGTGGGGCAAGTGCTGTTAGCGGGCACCTATGAAGGCAGGAATGGTACCCTCATGCAATTACACCCCCGCCTCCCCCGCACTTGACTTAGCTCGTCGGATTCCTCCAGGATAATTAAAGTTCTGATTCGGAACTCAACCCCCACCTCTACGACCACCTCATCGTGTCACCATCACCCTCCTGTACCACTGGGCCCAGCCACGTCGCCCCACACCCCACTCCGGTGTATCCCAGGTGCACCACGGACAGGGAGAGCGGGAAGAATAGCAGGAGCGATGTGCGCGGTGCGAGCGGCGCGCGTTGTTATTCCGCGTGCGGCACATCGCACGCTCAGCGGGGCAATTCCCTCACTGCTTGTTTTTCGCAGTTTTGCACAAAGAGTTCCTGAAACAAAAACAAAAACCTCGGTGGCATTGTGTTCCTGAAACGGCTTCTCACCTGATCCCGTTTCACCGCGGCGGTGGCAGCGGCGCTCGGAATGCGAGTCGGGAGCGTGAGCGAGAACAAAAAAATAACAAAAAATCCACCCGCAAGCAAGCGCGGTGGGGTTCACAATGGCGGGAAAAGAGTGCTAGCACTACCCCCCCCTCCAACAAAGAGTGGCGGTCACTCAGACACGCGCCGCCCCGTGCAGCAGCGCAGGAAGCGATGATGAATGAGCGGCGAGGCAGGTACACACCGGTCGGCAAGAGTCAACACGGCACCGTGACCCGCGACCTGCGCGCAGCGACCGCCCCTCCTAGCACCACAAGGCCTCGACAGCCCCGAGCGTTCACCAACCCCCGTGCAGACTCCTCGGTGTGGCGCTCGCCATCGACCCACATGGCGAGCAGTGTCGACTTCGAATGCTTCCAAAAGTCAAACCCCCGACTTCCCGCCCGGCGCCGAACACGCGCGCAACTACCGCGCGCTCCGCTGCCGATGGACGCTCGCCGGCTGGGCGAGGACAAAGCACAAAAGCGTCCGGTCGGGTCGTGCAAACCACAAAGGGGACCGAGAGCCACGACGGGGGCGCGTTGTGCACGAGCACCCGCAGCACGCTCCCGGGACGCGAGGCGCCGGGAGATGCGCGTGAAAGGGGCAACCGTTCACCCGCGACAGCCAGCGAGCGGGTGGTCGCTCCTCTTACGGCGCCGGCACCACGGTGGCGTGATGTTAACTGCTGCCTCGCCTGGTATGCAGAAGGTCGTGGGTTCGATCCCGACCCTGTATAATTGGAGTTTGCGTGTCTCTCTCCTCGTGGTCGCGTGGATATTTTCTCTCCGGGTCCTCCGGTTTCTTTATTTGGCTGCTGTAAATTTCCACATAAGCCACTTCGTTAAACTACCATTTGTGGCCACGTCGCTTCTGAAAAAGAACTAATAGCTCAGTGGGGTTTACCTGGCAAAATAGAAAGTTTAGTTTGAGTGTTTATATATGTTGTGCATTGCTTACCCTTCCTATACTTTGCACTCCTATAGTTTCCTTTGTATTGTTTGTTGTTGTCACGTTCTGAACCGCCCCCCCCCCCCCCTACTGGAAATCTGTGGGGAGAAAAGAGCTTCATGGCTCATCGGATTTCTGCCGGCTAAATAAAGATGATGATTCTGGCCACCCCCTCGTGCTCTGCTTGCGAACTCCTTCGTCTTCAGCAGGTGCCGTGAGTACCTGCTGCACAGACCGCCGCCAACTTTGTGGGGAAACGGTTGAACGGCGGAGCTTCGGGTTTTCTGCAATCGAAATGTTCTTTGAACAAACTCACGGAGACGTCGTGTTGACCCTTCATCAGGAGGGTGGGTTTGAGCAGGACACTTTGTTCACAATGATTTTACTCAGGCTCTCACGGAACGTAGAATGCACCCGAAGCCAACCCAATTCAGCATCCATCGCGGGGTGCTCGCGTGTGCGTCCCTCCCAACCTCTGATCGGCCTCAAGAGACGACCTCCTTGCGACGCCCCGTCTCTCAAACCGCGCAAGTTGAACGTCGCTTCTCCGTTTTCGCTACGATCGTCTGGAATTCACTCCCTCCTCTCTCAACTGTGCCGCTCATCGGCACGGCACAGAATCCCAAGACTTTTTAAGTTATCTCTCCCGCACCTCCGAATGTCGTTTTAAAAACGTGTACGGGGTGTTGGCGCGGCCCTCACCTGCTGCGCGAGCTGGTAGAGCATGCGCGCGCTCACGGCCGTCGTGTGAGTGCGCAGGATGTTCTTCTGAGCCTCCTCTCGCTTCCACTCGTACTTGTACCTGCGGGAGACAGCAGCAGCGCCGCAGGTCACGCGCTTGCCACCTTCCGGTTTGACACCACCCCGAGCCCCCTCTCCTGCTCACGCTCGCAAATATCGGAATTCTTGCAGCATACTTAACAATGCGGCGGGAAAATAAACTTCTGCAATCCGAAATGCATCCTCCGGGCTGTAAACAGGAAGCAAGTACCCGCAATGCTCATTTGAGCAGGAAATCACTTTGACTTTTGACTTTCTCTTCTTGGTTCTTTCGGTAAAGTCACGTAGAAGGGAAATAATAAATTAATAAAAATAAAACATAATAAAATACAATTCTCACGACGTTTCGGCCACAACGCAAGCAGCCGTCCTCAGGTGAAGAACAGGTCTGTCGGAAAGACAGCGTCCGAATCCATTCGGACGCTGCCTTTCCGACAGCCCTGCAACACAAGCCATCATCATGGTGATGAATTTTATTCTTTTATTATTTCCCTTCTACGTGACTTTACCGAAAGAACGAAGAAGATGAATACCTGCAGTCACGAAAGCTTTGAATCGAAATTTTGATTTTCTATTTGAAACAAACGCATGCAGACGATTTCTGGGAATTCCATGGAAGGACGGGGTGGGGGGCAAAGCAACCTGGAAGAATGCGGCAAGAAAGTGTTGAGGGGAAAGTGATAAAATTGGTGTGGAGTGAGGGTCGTAATTTAATTTCAGAATCGATTTTCTTTTCAGCCTGTTTTTACCCGATCGTTGGTATTTCTTCACGAATTTTTTTCCCAATCTCTCTTTGCGCAGTTGATTTTGCCCAAATGTAATAGCAGCACAAAATGTGCGTGCATCGTAAGCAATCGATGCATCGTCGCGTGGCCGGCCGGCGTACGCGTGTAAGTTTACAACTGCACAGATTAGCACGGCACGAGTCTTGTTCGGTGCAGCGAGAGACACCTTGATGATACTTTTTCATCGTCTTGGTTCTTTCGGCAAAGTCACGTAGAAGGAAAATAATAAAATAATAAAAATAAAACATTATAAAATAATTCTCACGACGTTTCGGCCACAGCGCAAGCAGCCGTCTTCAGGTGGAGAACCGGTCTGTCAAGTAGACAGAGTCGTGAGAATTGTATTTTATTATGTTTTATTTTTATTATTTTATTATTTTCCTTCTACGTGACTTTACCGAAAGAACCAAGACGATGAATCCCTGCAGTCACGAAAGCTTTAAATCGAGATACTTTTTCAATTCGCCACCGCGTCACGTCCCCGTCAGATGTAACGCTCGCGGATCTAAAGCCCGGCGATGACGCCATTCCCTCCGCGCTCACGACAGCGCATCAACTCCCTTGCCGCCGCTCGCTCACAAGCCACAGATGTGTCCTTGACCTCTTGACCTGCAGTACATCTCCCGTATCAGAGTCAGCCTCACATTCGCTGTTTGCCGATCGCCACAGTGTGTGTGGGCGTACATGGCCCGCGCAAACGAGCTAAGTGCTTGCAAAAGGCCCTCCAGGTATGCATGTGGATGTTTGTCCGCGTCACACATACAGCTAATCTATCACGGGCAGCACAATAGGGGCGTTCGTGAGCGTAGAGCGCAAACAGGGACGGCAAGGTTAGCAGATAATCGCGTACACAATGGTCGTCGTAAGTTCAGCGCAACAGCTGAGACGTCTGCAAATAATTTGACTTTGCAATTGCGTGCGATTCACAGAGGCGGCCGTCGGTTTGCGCCCGGAGGTTTGTTCGTGGCCGAGGGAGGGGAGAGGATCAGGGATTGGCTCTCAAATGCAACAATGGCAACACAACTCTCAATCCTTTTGTTCAGATTGGCCGGATCATTTTTTTTTAAATGCAACAATTTGTATTGTGTCTTTTTTACGCCCCATCACGACGACATTTGTGTCGACTATTCAGAAGACATTTATAGATATATATTTTAAAAATTAATTGTTAGGAGTACTTTTTCCAAAGTAAATTTTTGCAAAGACAGAAGCCGGAAAACCAGTTCATGGATTTAGAACTGGGTGCACTGCTTTCACACTGTACGCGTACTGTACGCGTACTACATGCGTACGGCAGCGCTGCAATGAGCGTCAGCTCCCAGCGCATCACACGTAGTCATCACAGGACACCAGAGCACAGCAGGGACTTGCAGTGTGCTTTGCTGCAGAGAAACACGTCATTATCATCAGCCACGATCAAACCACTGCTGGATGAATGCCACTCTCATGTCTCATTTCTTTAGAACTGCTTTTTGCGTGACTTTGTTGTTCTGCTCCGCACCTAACATGAGCACGGCTGGCTACGTGCTGTGCGATAGAAGTTCAACGTACACTAGTACAAGCCGTCGCCATTCTTCACAGTCCCGTGATGCAACTATCCGTGAAGCACCTGCATCCGAGCCAATTTCATCGCGGCTTCATCTCCACAGAGGGCATCCCCTTGGGCGCGTTTTCAACCTTTGGCTACCAATTCTGTTGTTCATCTCAAACGCTGCCACAATTCCTATCAGCGACGTGCCTTGCCCGGGCCCACTCTTGTACTTTGGTACACTAGGTATTCGGCGCTGCTCTTGGGTGTAATGGTTAATCAAATAAGCGTACCGCCGTTAATCTCTGCACGGAAACTTTTTTTTTTTAAAGCCCACTGGCCGATTGGCCTTCCGAACAAACGCTGCTGGATATCTTAAGTCCTGTAGGCAAGTCAGTCTTTGGGCTTTAAAAATATATATTTAAACAATTATTGTGGCGACACGAATGGTTTATTTACGTATTCGTTTTATATACTTCAGTTGTTGCATTTAACAGCGTTTCCGAGGTTCTGACGTAATGCCACGCGGCACGCGGGTATTATTTGCCATTCAAGTGGCGGTGACATTTGCAGTGACGGGTACGATCAATGCGGGCCCCGTGAAGGCCGCTAAGCGAACCGTCACGTTGACATTTCACGAAAAGGCTCCCTTCATCACCGCCCAGTGAAGTTCATCCGAATCCCAGCTGTGAGAAAGAAGCGGGTGAACGTACGAGCGGACGAGCGAGCGAGCGACTGAAGAGCCAAGTTGGTACACTGTACCTAATTATCAACCCTAGTGGAGAGGGGACGGAGTCCCATCGCGTGTCGCGTGGGAGGAGACTGAGATACAAAGAAACGAAGCGAGCTTCGTGCCACACATGCACGGGGAGGGCTTGGGTAATCGGCCACGGTGACCCGAAAATGATTCAAGCACTGGGGCTACTTTTTACTTTCTGCGCCAGACCTCAGAGAAATGGAATGCACTATCAGCCAAGTGTCTAGTGTACACACACACACACACATAGAAAACGACTACCCGTACAGCCTTTAAAGGCTGCCATGGCACACGAGGGGGTGGTGTGACCAGCACCATACTTGGCCAACTCTGACTCCCCCAATGTTGCTGTTCACACCCCTTCACGTTAAGGCCGAGTCAACCTAGAAGAGGTACAGAACAGGTTTAAATACGACTCAACGCCGATGTCAGCCGCGGCTGGTAATTTATTTCAGGTCGCCACTAGCGCAGTGCAATGACCGTTGAAATACTGCTCCCCAGATAAAACAGTGGCCATGTGACGGTGACATCACCACGGCGCTTGTTCCGAGAAAGGTGCTCCCCAGACACACGCACGCGTGTGCACGCGCAAGCACACGCGTGTACATCACACGCGCCGACAGTCATCCAACGTTTGGCAAAAGTTGCGTTGCCAAAATAATGACTCTTTTTTCTAGAGCAAAACTGTCGAAATATATATTGTAATGTGCTATTGTATCTGTTTTAATTTCTCAAGGTTTACTTTCATAAGCACCGGCCAAATATTGAAGGTAAAAAAAAAACACGTCAAATAAACCGCTTGCAAAATGAAATTAACCAAGGATAAATAAAATACATCAAACAAAGGTTATGTTACACATCAGAGCTGCGTAAATCCAAAGCGCCAAGTACTTGTTCATTGCCGTCACGAGGAGAGCAACCAGCGGCACCGGCCTACGCTGGGCCTCCCCGGCGTGGACTCGCGAGCACGAGGGCTGCCACGATATCACTGGTCACACGGCGTGACAATGTTCGTGGCTGGGCTGTTCAGCTCTCCGATGCAGTCGCCAGGTTCCACCGCGCGTTATTCGGCATTACGTCCGACGTTTTGGCCCACGCGCCAGGAGCTTCTTCAGGAACAATTCAGGTTCCACGTGTTGGGGAGCTTCTTAGCGAACGGAAACTGAAGAAGCTCCCAGGCACGTTGAGCGAAAACGTCTGACCAAATTGCCAAACAACACTCGGTACGACCCGACAACGCAGTGGAGACTTTCCCCGCGTTGCCGCGTCGACACGTGGTGGCGAACCGAGCGGGAAGCCGATCGCAGGCCCCCCCACCGGGTGTGTGCACAGGCGAGGTTGCGCGTGCCCGCGATCCACGCGCGCTAACTCATTGTTTGACCTCGGCGGTGCGGTCCCCAGCTGCCGTCCGGCTGGCATCGAGCAGGTGAGCAAACTCGTGGCGAAGCCACCGCGACGCCCTCGTTAACGCCCCCCCTCCCCTCCCCGCTCACCCGCCCCCCCCGTGTGAAATTAGAGCCGCGATATGCCTGTCAGAGCGTGACGATTATGAGCGCTGGCTTCCTGCGTGATGCCCCCCCCCCGCGCCCCCCGTGCAGCGTGAGGATCGTGTTACCGCAAGCGCCGCGTCTTGTGCGGTTGACGTCGGCGGAGGTGTCTCACTGCCATGGCAACGCCGTCACAGGTTACATACTCGTTTTGGCAACGTTTAATTAGTTATAATAAAGGTGCAGAGGGCCTGCAATTTCTTGCTAACACGGGCGGAAGGTCCTCCCACTAGAGCGGGGCTCCGGAAGGGATTTTTGCCTACTCTTTCACGCTGGTCAGGCGTCTTTGGAAGAGGTCGCAGGAGACACACTTTAACCCACCACGCACAACCTGCCGATCGTCTGTGGCGTACCGATTACTACTGCTGCCAGTTGGACAGAGGTTGTATGGATATAAGAAACCTG